GTACGTGAAAATGTTCTCATGTCTGTCAAAAAATTCTGGCATATCGCTGGCGGCCAGGGAGCCTTTATGTTCATCAAGTTCGATTAACAATTTAAGGGCATACGTCTTAGAATGTGGTTGACCTTCAGAATCAGATCTTTTGCGCTTGCGAATTAATTTTACAGCAATTTCTAAAATAGAAAAAAAGTAATATATATTAAATCTATAATTATTAAACAATCTAGCATATAATTTACTTCAACTGGTCAGCCACCAACAATATCTGTACTGTAGAAAGAAAATGAGAATTATAACATCCACTTTGAGAGTTGTTTTTTGAGCAAACAGTATTGTTTCTACAGTATGTTAGATCATAGAGGCATAAAAATGTTCTCCAATGTTAAATGAATGGGAGATGTTGGTTATTCCTGTAGGCTGTGTCCATGTTGCCTTCAGTTGATTTGCATATATTTCATGTTCATCTGTTTTGATTATTTTGACAATAATTGTCTGATCTTTGATCACAGATTCCTCTCCTTTTAATGTTAGCCTGCTGCCCTCAATTCTGTTACAGTCCCAATATCACATTTGCTGTTTGTTTACACATGGAAGTAAAATTTTCCATTATCATCTGGCTCTGTTTTTGGCAATTCATTTATATAATTACTCTTTCACTTGACTGCATTGCTGTGCCTTCATCACTCTTTAATAATTGATTAAGAAAAGACAATTTTGTATTTACTGTATACTAGATAGTGTTGCTTTTATATTAATTCATTCAGTTGTACATCATTTACCATATTCTTTTTTTTGTAAATTGTCCCTACTTCATTTTTCATTTTGTCTCTATTCTCCTTTACTTTTTTGAATATTTCTTCTGCGTGATTGTCTATATCTCTTCACAAGTGAGTCTTTATTTTGTTTTAATGTTGTAGCATTCTGAATAACAGCTTTGAGACCATCTTTTAATTTGTTTTTCTAAAGTGGCTGAAGTTTCTTTAAATGTTTGGAATGTGTCTGAAATGTTGATTGATTTGTGTTTTCCATCCCATACATTGTGGTCCATAAGTATACAATTCACACAGATTTGAGTTTTACAATCTGTGCAGTAGAACTCCAAAGGTTTACTGATGTGAACACAGAGGAGGCTGGATGAATAATAATAATATTAAACTTTAATGTAGCTCATGATGTCAAAATGCTTCTGTAAAAGATTACATGTTTAATGGACAATAATTTATTTGATATTGTAGCAATTTTTTTACCTTTTAATCTGTAAGTGCATTTTAAAAATTAATGGTGTGATTTCCACCTGATATTTCCAACACTAATATTATTATTTTCTGAACAAATTTCACATACAAGATTTTAATCTAACCCCGTGACAAATATGTGTATTTGTAGGGAGTAGAGGCCAATGATAATATTGTACTTATAGTGATGGTTTAAGTAGCATGCAGAGGTGAGCTAGAATTAAAAGTATTACTTACCCTAGGAATATATTGGGTACACAAAAATGGTGACCTAGAAATTATATTCTAACTTGGTCTCCTAGAAAAGTTTAACAATTGATTGACAAAATTAGTCCTCAAAATCTGTCATCTTTCTCCACACATTACTTGGACTCGGCAGCAGGAAGAAGAAAGGCAGTTGCACGATTGGAATTGGTGGTGTAACCCTCTTTGGGTGCTAGCTTGGTGGTGTGTTTTTTGTTTTTTTTTCTTGCTTTTTATTCAACATTCTTTTGTTGTCTACCTATTTTCTAGCGCAGAGACGTGTTTAATTTAAAAATTCATCTATTTTTATTATGGTAATTTTAATATAAAATTTTGCATGGTGCTGAAAATCTTGATTCTATCTGGTTTAAAATTTCAACATAGGACTAGAAGGTCAACTTCAAACACAAGGTTATCAACCAGAATTCTTCATGAAAATTTGAGTTAACTATCCTTAGAGGCTATTGCTTTACAAAATTCTGGTAATAAGAATGTTTTCATATATGCTAGAAGCTATTATCTCAGATACAAGAATATTTTGATTCAGTATTTTCTGAATAATTAAGATACAGTAAACCCTTGAAAAACACACATTTTCTGATTGGAGAAACTTCACATATGCACCATATACACCTTATTTATTGGATTTATTGTACTGAACAATATAAATTAATAGAATATTTTCTTTAAAATTCTCTCTTAAATGTTAGGTGTGCTTGAAGTGTCCCAAACAGTAGAAGTGGGTTTTTCCAGACCTTTTACTTTAGTCTTGTGATCTAGTATAGGCTGGTTTCCGTGGTGAGTGCAATCAAATGTAATTTGAGGAAATCTGCAGTCATTCAGTGGCTTTGAATTTCAATAGGGGATTGGTATATTCCTTCCTAATAATGTGACAGAGTCAGGAACTATTGACATAATTGATTGGTCATCTTTTAACATTTTTTTTTAACCAAATTCTTGTTTTCCCAATTCAACCACCAGAAGAACCCCACTAGAAATACATATATTTTTTCACTTTTTAATTGAAATTACCATTATTGGTGATCCTGAAACAAGGAGGAAAGTCTTGCCAAATGTACAAATAACGCAAAATTTATATTCAAACTCAAACCTTCTGTAGAGTATATGCAATTGTCACTTTAAAATGTACCTAGCCAGAATAGAGAAACAGTTATTAGAAAGTGTATTCTGGTATTTTTTTAAATATAAAATCACTGGTATGTGCTTAAAAAAGTGAATTGTGTACAATTATTTAAAATTACAATGAAAAAAGAAACCAAATGAATGAAACAATGAACAATAATTAGAAACATTTGATTAAAGTCTCATGAAAAATATGTATAAAAACAACATGCTGTATTTTTGGCCGTTAACAGAACTGGTCCATAGCACCCGCCTTTTGGAAAAACCCGGGTTATAAATCCTGCTGGTTTGTTGAATAGCGAAGGGTTCTTAAATTATTTATTGCCACTGAAGCCCATGAGATGAAGTGAGTGATTGTAATGGGTTTCTTGTTTACATTTCAATGGCTATATGTTGCTGGCCATGACTCCCAATGGACATTCTTAAAACCAATTAAAGTTAAGTTTATGGAGCTGCTAACAGCTCCCTCTGGACCATTTAACAGCTCACTCTCAACTATCAGACAGCTCACTATGCACCATTTCTGCTAACAGGGAATTTTGCCTCATGATAAACTTAAATTAAAATCATTAAATATAAATAATGATAAAAATGCAAAATAAAAAGGTTATTAAAACTTAAGAAAAAAAATAAGCAATGAAATATTAATTTAATAAATTTGATGAAGTACATTTTACCTCATTACAGTAGCACAATAAAAATTATGATTAAAAAATAGAACAGATTTAAAAAAAAAAAAAGAAGTTCCAGCAATTTAAGGTCATAAAACAAGATCAAAAGAAAAAAAATTATGAATGTTAATGAGTTTTGCAAATTGATCTAGTGTTGAAATTAAAGCAGAGGTCCAGATTTGCTAAATTGCTGAATCTTACTCAGTTGTTGTTTGATGTACTGCAAATACACACATACAAGAATTCACACCTCCCCCCCCCCCAACTCATACCATCACACTGTATGATACTGTAGTGTAACAGATGTTTGTCCTGTCCTGAATCTTCCAAACCACTAGGTCAACTCATCAAGTTTGAATACCTAAACTTGGTTTCTCCAATCTTTCACTAGGGGCCGGTTCGAGCGGAAAAAAACGCAAACCGTATTCCGGTGAATTCAGCGGTTAATCGCGCCGAGCACACAGCAGGTGGTCCACCGTTCGAGCAAATTTTAGCTCATTCCGGAAGTAATTTTGTAAAGTAATTCAGAAACACCAATCCCATCAACCCATTCTTTGTTTACTTCTGCTTGTTTAAACGATACGCGGGAACGATTTGTATTGAAGTTTAATTCTCTGAATACTATACTGTAATGGTAATTTTACAAATTGAACGTGTAGCTATGCTACTAGCCACCATTATGGCTACAATGATGCGATGTTATGTGGATGGATTTACTGTCCAATCCAACTTTGATTTCGCCGTGAACATGAGGAGGCAAAGAAGAGCGCGACGACAGTGGGTACTTGCTGTGGACGAACCATTTGGCAAAGCAATTAAGGTTGATTTATCATCGTCTCCGGCTCCAAGGCCATCTCATACACAGAATTCTACCCAGCAATTTGGTGGTCAAAATTGTCGCGATTAATCCAGATGGTAAGGTAATTAGGCGCGTGTCCGAGCGGTTTTAGAAAGTGTGTACCAGTGAATTAACTGGAAAATCGCACGGATATTTTTTCGCTCGAACGGGCCCTAAGACATGTATTAACACTTAGATGGACATTAACATTATTGTTCATTTCCCATTTGATTATTATAATTAAGTACTTTTGTTCTTGACCTGGATTAGTTTTGCATGACCTGTGTTCTTGGTATGATGGAACACAGGAGAGAAGAGGAATAATTATAATCAGAATGAGACAAGAGTGAGAGGAGGATAAGAAATGCCTGAATTAAATGAATAAAAGTTTCATGAAGTACTCACTGTCAAGATATTTATAATCAGTTTCTACTCTTCCAGCTCACCAAAACAAGCACTAAAATATACTGTGACATAGCATGACTGTTATTACAAACTATTTTCTTTTATATAAAAAAATTGATTATAGAAGTTGAATGCAACACACACACAAAACTACCTCCACACACCAACACTTAAATGATTTGTCTTTAAAACCTGCTGCCTTTGTCTTCTTCTATATCAGATGACTTGTCTTTAAAACCTGCTGCCTTTGTCTTCTTCTATATCAGAACACACTGACAATTGAGGAAACAGAGCTTTGATTTATTCTGACGTGTCATGTTGTATGCCTGTCATATCGACAAGTCATCAGACATTTTCAAAGATGTTTTAGTAAGGTATGATGAACTGTTTTTTCTTTGTTGGTGGATGGGAGTTTACTACTCTCTAATGAATCCACACACGTTCAACACTAGTACACAGAGAACTGTCTTTACGTTTAAAAAAAACCAAAACACTTTATTCAGTAAACAAGTGTATGCTACTGTGCAACATGGCGTATTCCACAAAACCTTGTGCATGTCTGCATCACACACATTGACGCATGGAATATCTCACTACAGTTGGTAAAAACTATTCAAATGCACAATTTTGCCTTGAAAAATCGAGACTACCTATATGAACTGAATAGTACAGTCTCGGAGCTTGGTCGCCATTCAAAGGAATGGTTTGTGTTAAAAGATTTGCGTTACTTTAAAATGTGTTTATATTAAGTTGTATCTACGAGGCTTGTATCAGAGCCATGGTCTCCTTTTAAAGAAATGGTTTGTGTTAAAAGATTTAGTCATGGAATATCTCACTACAGCGGATAGAAACTATTCAAATCCACAGTTTTGCCTTTGAACTCGAGACTACCTATGTGAACTGAATAGTGCAGCCTCGGAGCTTGGTCTCCATTCAAAAGGAATGGTTTATGTTAAAAGGTTTATGTTACTTTAAAATGTGTTTATATTAAGTTGATCTACAAGGCTTGTATCAGAGCCCTGGTCTCCTTTTAAAGGAATGGTTTGTGTTAAAAGATCTACTGCACTTTACAATGTGTTCTATGTTACATGACCACAGGAAAAATAGATTGTTAAGAACTATTTATAACATTCAATTTTTAGTGATCATGAGAGTTCTATGTTACATGGCCACAAACTACTGTTATACTGGATAAATATACATTAGAGTTCTACTACAAATTAAGCCACATATTAACAAAAAAGAAACTAGTGTTACATACATCTATGCAGATTTGGATGATTTCCTGTCAAAGTACACATAAAGAAACAATGAAGTTGCTATTGAATACAAGTGAACAGTTTGAATTAATGCAAACTACTCTGGTAACTATATGATTGCAAGTGGACTGTTTATATTCAATAATTAAATATTTTCACTGTTTTGTCACTATAATTTACTACTACAAGTCTCTGTGGGTGATATGATATATTTGTTGGATCTATTATACTGACAATATAAATTTATTAAATATTTACTTTAAAATTCTCTGTTAAATTTTAAGTGTGCTTGAAGTGTCCCAAACAATAGAAGTGGGTTTTTCCAGACCTTTACTTTAGTCTCGTGATCTAGTATAGGCTGGTTTCTTTGTGAGTGCAATCAAGTGTAATTTGAGGAAATCTGCAGTCATTCAGTGGCTTTGAATTTCAATAGTGGATTGGCGTATTCCTTCCTAATAAGGTGACAGAGTCAGGAACTATTGACATAATTGATGGGTCATTTAAAAAAAAAAATTTTTCATCAAATTCTTGTTTTCCAAATTCAACCACTAGAAGGACCCCACTAGAAATACATATAATTTTTTACTTTTTAATTGAAATTACCATTATTGGTGGGAACCTGAAACAAGGAGGAAAGTCTTGCCAAATTTACAAATAATGCAAAATTTATATTAAATTCTGTAGAGTATAATATGCAAATGTCAATTTAAAATGTACCTACTATAGCCAGAATAGAGAAACAGTAATATTAGGAAGTGTATTCTGGTATTTTTTTTTACATGGACACAAACTACTGTATACTGGATAAATGTACTTTAGAATTCTACTACAAATTAAGCCACATAAACAAATAGCAACTACTGTACATACATCTATACAGATTTGGATGATTTCCTGTCAAAATACACATAAAGAAACAATGAAGTTGCTATTGAATACAAGTGAACAGTTATGAATTAATGCAAATTACTACGGCAACTATATGATTGCAAGTGGACTGTCAATATTTAATAATTGAATATTTTTACTGTTTTGTCACCATAATTTACTACTGCAAATCTCCTTGGGTGATATGAAATTATGGATAATCCCTTTGGATTGTTGATTCCATCTTCTGGCTTATCAATTCTTTTAATGAAATTACCATCACTACTAAATAGCTGTATTTTGTGTTCACTTGATATAATGATGTTGTCATCCTGATCAACTTCTACTCCATATGGATACATCATCTTACCATTCTCATCACCTGCTTCAACAAGAACTTTCATGAACCTTCCCTCATTATCAAATAATTGTAATCTACTGTTGCCATACTCCAATACAAGAAGGTGTCCTTGGTTTGTAAGAGTAACATCAATGACATGACTCATTTGACCTTCTCTTGTGTCTTGAGACCCATGTTTTTGGTGATTTTGACACATATTCATGTCAAACATGTACACACAGCTTTCAGTCAAGCCTCCTGCTACATACAAAACATTAGATAACTCATCCACATGAATACCACATGATAATCTCAGTACTCCCTTACCAATTGTGTTTATCACCTGGCCATCCAAATTACATATTCTGACAGGTTTCTGAAGATTTAAGTCGCTAAATGCTATGTTACCATTCTTCATTTTGTACATTCTTGAAACTTCCACACCTTGTGGTAGTGCAACCTTACCAATATATTCTCCTGATTGCTTGTACTTGAGCATTTCATTTGTCCAGCATGAAACCAGTAATGAGTCATCTTCACACTTAACTACATCTTCAACACATTCTTTGTTTATTTGAATGGTATTTATTAATCCTTCTCTCTCTACGATGATTATCATTGGTGACTGCTTAATTGGTTCATCATCAACACTCACATCTAGTTTACAAACTCCTGGACTTGTGCATTTTCCTGTCACAAAATAATCTCCATTGTCATCTTTCTGAACTTGAGTGATGTTAATTTGTGTCCATGTTAGCTTCAGTTGATTTGCATATATTTCATGTTCATCCTTTTTGAGTATTTTGACAACGACTGTCTGACCTGGGCTCACAGATTGCTCGCCCTTTAATGTTAAACAGTCTGCTGCCCTCTGTGTTACAGTTCCAAAATCACATTGTTTCATTGAAGCCATTTTCTGTTTGTTTATAAAGAAGTAAATTTGTCCATTATCATCTGGCTCTGTTTTTGGCAATATATTTATTCTCTCCTTCAGTGTTGTAATTACTGTTTCACTTGACTGCAATGCAGTGCCTTCATCACTATTCAATAATTGATTAAGAAAAGAGAGATTTGTATTTATATCAGATAATGCTGTTTTTAGTTCTTCCAGTTGTGCATCATTTACCTTCTTTTTTCTTTTGTAGATTGTCTCTACTTTATTTGTCATCTTGTCTCTATTCTCCTTTACTTTTTTGAATATTTCTTCCGCATGATTTTCTATATCTCTCAAACAAGTGTCTTTATTTTGTTTCAGTTTTGTAGCATTTTCAGTAACAGCTTTGAGACCATCATGTAATTTGTTTATGAAGTGTTGGGCAGATTTTTTGATGGTGGCTGAAGTTTCTTTAAATGTTTGGAATGCATCTGAAATGCTGATTGGTTTGTGTTTTCCTTCCAATGCATTGTGGTCCATAAGTATACAATTTACACAGATTGGAGTTTTACAATCTGTGCAGTAGAAGTCCAAAGGTTTACTGTGATGTGAACACAGGGGCGAATGTAACAAAGTCATCGGAGAGGGGCTCATTGATTGCACATCCTCTATCATTAAATGTAATTTGTGATATGCCAAGGCTTGAAACTTTTGATGTTGATCACTACAGGTTGAGCACAAGTATTGTCTGCAATCCTGGCAGTAGTATTTTACCTGTCCTTCCTTTTCACAAACACTACATTTCATCATATCACTCTCTGAAAATATTTTGATAATTTGTAATAAGTTATTTAGAAAGATATTTGGTTGAAGCTTCTGAAGCCCTCCCTCTGGAATGGGATATGATTTTGAGCAAGTTGGACAAATCAGCTCTTCCTTAGTCTTAATCCAGTCTTCCAGACACGCCAAACAGAAACTATGGAGGCAGTTGAGGGATGTAGGATTTTGAAGTCTCTTAAAGCAGATGGTACACTCTAAAACCTTCTCTTCCACACTTTCCATAAACTGATCCAACTTACTGGTAGCCATTTTGAATTAAAATCCTAAGAATTTAAAAATATTTTGATAATTACTATATTATCTTTTGGGCTAGATGAATAATAAAAATATTAAAATTTTTGATAGCTCATAATGTGAAAATGCGTCTGTGATAGTATAATACTTACTCCAAGTATCGAAATGCACACCATCGTGTCGGGATTCAATATTTCGACATTAATTATGTCATCATCAGGAATTCCTGATGACATTAATTATGTCATCATCAGGAATTCCTGATGATGACATAATTATTGTCGAAATATTGAATCACGACACGATGGCGTGCATTTCGATACTTGGAGTATGTATTATACTATCTTATCTGAGATTAATCAGTGGACCTTTCGGTTCATGTGATAGATTACATGGTAATGGATACAATAATTGATTTGATATTGTAGCAATTTTTTTACCTTTTAATTTGGAAGTACATTTTAAAAATTAATGGTGTGATTTCTGCAAACCGTTGCCCTTCCACCTGATATTTCCAACACTAATGTTATTTTTTTCTGCACAAATTTATGCTACAAGATTTTAATATAACCCCCGTGACCCTGCAAATATGTGTATTTTTAGGGAGTAGAGGCCAATGATAATTTTGTATTAATAGTGATGATCTAAGTAACATGCAGAGGTGAGCTAGAATTAAAAGTAAAGCTTACCCAAGCAATATATTGAGTACACAAAAATGGTGACCTAGAAATTATATTCTAACTTGGTCTTCTAGAAAAGTTCAACAATCAAATGACAAAATTAGTCCTCAAAATTTGTCATTATTCTCCCCATGTTACTTGGACTCAGCAGCTAGGAAGCAGAAAGGCAGCTGCATGGTTGGAATTGGCGGTGTAACCCCATACTACTATTTGGGTGCTAGCTGGTGTGTTTTTGTGTTTTTCCTTGTTTTTTATTCAGCATTTTTTTGTTGTTTACTTTACCTATTTTCGAGCACATAGAGACCTCGTTTATTATAAAAATCCATCTATTTTTATTGTGGTAATTTTTATATAAAATTTTGCATTTTAGTGAAAATCTTGATTTTATCTGGTTTAAAATTTCAACATAAAACTAGAAGGTCAACCCCAAACACAAGCGTTATCAAGCAGAATTCTTCAAGAAATTCACACAACTTTGAGTAAATTATCATTAGAGGCTATTTATTTATTTGTTACACACACTTTTTATTTAATATCGGTGGCACTCACAGTTCAGTGGTGAAGTCTTACAATATACACAAAAGAAACAGGTAAAAATAATCTTAAAATTAACAATCAATACTTAACTAAAAAAAAAACACTGAAAAAAAAAAACACCCCTACAAACACATAATATAAAAACACATTCATCCAATCAAAATGCATATCCAGTTTTTACATAAAAATTCAAATACAAAAGAGCAAAAGAAAGCACATACAAAGCAACAATATTAAGATGTAACACACTTCATTACAATTGAGAGTTCCATGCACACCAAATATATATCATTTACAAAAATTAGCAATCACATTGGCAGTGTTGCTTAACAAACTTCTGGTAATAAGAATGTTTTCATTTATGCTGGTGACTATATTATGGAATAATAATATAATTTAACTTAATAATTTAATTTAGTGTTCAATGTGTTCCATATGTGTTTGATCCAATGACCCGGGTAGTAATGTGAAGCACTTTGAGGCTTTGTAAAGGCATGAAGCGCTATATAAGAACGACATATTATTATTTATTATCACAGATACAATAATATTTTGATTCAGTATTTTCGAATTTTTCTGAATTAGTATGTGATTTTTCTGGATCTATTGTACTGAACAACATAAGTTAATAAAATATTTACCTTAAAATTCTCTGTAAAAAATTTTAGGTGTGCTTGAAGTGTCCCAAACAATAGAAGTGGGTTTTTCCGGAACTTTACTTTAGTCTTGTGATCTAGTATAGGCTGGTTTTTTTGTGAGTTCAAGGTGGCTTAAGAAAATCTACAGTCATTCATTGGCTTTGAATTTTAATAGTGGAAAAATCAGGATCTATTGGCATAACTTGATTGGTGAATTTTTTTATGAGTTTTTTTTTTCACCAAATTCTTATTTTCCCAATTCAACCTCCAGAAGAACCCCAATAGAAATACATAATATAATTTTTTACTTTTTAATTTAAATCACCATTATTGATGGCAAAAGGGTTTCTGGGACAAGGAGGAAAGTCTTGCCAATTGTACAAATAATGCAAAATTTTTAGAGACATTTGTAGAGTATATGCAAATGTCAATTTAAATGTACCAAGGCAGAATAAAAAAGCAGTTATTAGGAAGTGTATTTAGGTATTCTTTTACATGAAATCACTGTTAATAATTGCATAAAGATTAAGGCTATGTTCTCACACGGCAGCTAACAGTTAGCAGGATCCGGATCCTGCTAACCGTTAGCTGCTGTGCGTCCATACGACCAAGATCCTGATCCGGATACCAAGAATATGATGATTGAATCACTGGCCAATAAGAAACTGGAAATTGTAAACACGCATGTGTGATTGGATGATGATAGAAGCGTGCTCAACTTGCTAACCGATAGCGCTTGGTAACCGTTAGTGGTATCTGGATACCAAGAATATGATGATCGAATCACTGGCCAATAAGAAACTGGAAATTGTAAACATGCATGTGTGGTTGGATGATGATAGAAGCGTGCTCAACCGATAGCACTTGGTTAACGTTAGCGGTATCTGGATACCGCTAACGGTTAGCGCCAACCGATCGGGCATTCTCACGTAGGTGTTAACAGTTAGTGCTAACAGTAAACTCCGATCCGGATACTAGGGCTCTCGTGAGAACCAGGCTTAAATGTTATGCATTTATACCGCACAATATACAAGGGTTTGTATGTGCTTAACAAAAAGGGAATTGTGCACAAATATTTCAAAAGTACAATGAACAAAGAAACCAATTGAATAAAACAATGAATAACGAAACAACAATTAGAAACATTTGATAACAGGCTCATGAAAAATATGTATAAAAACAATAAACTTAAATTAAAAGCATTAAATATAAATAAAAAATGCTTGATGTAAATACACACATACAAGAATATTCACACCTCTCCCCCTCCCCCCAAACACACACCATCACACTCTTATGATACTGTAGTGTAATTGGTGCTTGTTAAATGTTCTTTCCTGAATCTTTCAAACCACCAGGTCAATTCCTCAAGTTTGAATACCTGAACTTGGTTAGTTCTCCAATCTTTCATTTAAACATATGTATTAACACTTAGATGGACATAAACAATCGTTCATATCCCATCTGATTATTATAATTAAGTACTTTTGTTCTTGACCTGTATTAGTTTTGCATAACCCGTGTTCTAAATATAATAGAACACAGAGGGAAGAGGATTAATTATAATCAGAATCAGAATGAGACAAAAGTGTGAGCAATTACAGAGAATAAGAAATGCCAGAATTAAACTGAATAAAAGTTTTATGAAGTATACGCTATCAAGATATTTATAATCAATTTCTGCTCCTCCACCTCACAAAAATTCACACTAAAATATACTGTGACAAAGGTGTTATTACAAATTATTGTCTTTTATATCACAAATTGGTGATAGAAGTTGGGTGCAACACAACACACACACAACCACCCCCACACACCTATACTTATGACTTGTTTATATAATCTGCTGCCTTTGTCTTCTTCTATATCAGAACACACCGACAATGAGACAGCTTAGATTTACTTTGTGTCATGTTGGCTGCCTGTCATTCCAGAGTCATCAGACATTTCCAAAGATGTTTTAGTAAGGTATGATAAACTTGGGCCTAACTGAATGTGATTTCAAAGCCATACTGAGATAATCGTTGCAAGTCATCATTTAAATTGCAAAGTAAACACCACACACAATATCAAATATTCTGGTCAATACTTAAATAGTCAACATTGTACTCCCCTAGAACATAAGATAGAATCTATGTCTATAGGAAAATATTATATAATCACCAGTCATTTATTAGATATATTCATAGAGAAAGAAAATGTATTTTCTTTCTCTATGGATATATAAATGTTCGTAGGTATTTATTCACTGTGTTAATTGTGTGTTTGTTTTTATTACATGCTGAAAAACCAAAAGGAAAATAACAGGCACTACAAAAAAAATCACTAAACTAAAATGTATGAAAAATAAAGATATTTATAGGCTATACAAAAAAAATCCATGTGATTGAAAAGTACAATTATAAAAATCAAAATTAAGAAAATATAATGCATATTAGGCTAGATATGCTTCATTAAAAAAATCAAAATTTACAAGCAATAAAAAATTATAACCATTAGATTAAATGTATGTGATTCAATTGACGAACACAAAATTTTGAGGGTGTAAGACTACAGTATTGTCTACCGCCTAACTGAATGTGATTTTCAAAGCCAGACTGAGATAATCGTTTCAAGTCATCATTTAAATTGCAAAATAAACACCACACACAACATCAAATATTCTGGTCAATACTTAAATAGTCAACATTGTACTCCCCTAGAACATAAGATAGAATCTATGTCTATAGGAAAATATTATATAATCACCAGTCATTTATTAGATATATTCATAGAGAAAGAAAATGTATTTTCTTTCTCTATGGATATATAAATGTTCGTAGGTATTTATTCACTGTGTTAATTGTGTGTTTGTTTTTATTACATGCTGAAAAACCAAAAGGAAAATAACAGGCACTACAAAAAAATCACTAAACTAAAATGTATGAAAAATAAAGATATTTATAGGCTATACAAAAAAAATCCATGTGATTGAAAAGTACAATTATAAAAATCAAAATTAAGAAAATATAATGCATATTAGGCTAGATATGATTCTTTAAAAAATCAAAATTTACAAGCAATAAAAAATTATAACCATTAGATTAAATGTATGTTCAACTGACGAACACAAAATTTTGAGGGTGTAAGGCTACAGTATTGTCTACCAGTTTAGTAACCATAACTTTAACTCTATATTGATATACTTGTATTGGATAAATATTACTTTATATGGATGATGTGAAATAATAAATATGTAAATATTCATTCAATGTATACAAATTTAAAATTGACGAAAACAACACACATGAAGTGAAGCAAATGGACTGTATTTAATAGTTAAATATTTTTACAGTTTTGTCCCAATCATTCGCTACTGCAAGTCTCCTTGGATGATATGAAATTATGCATAATCCCTTTGGATTGTTGACTCCATCTTCTGGTCCATCAATTCTTTTAATAAAATTTCCATCACTACTGAATAGCTGTAGTTTGTGTTGACTTGATATAATGATGTTTTCGTCCTCATCAACTACTAGTGCACGTGGAAAGCTCACCTTACCATCTTCATCTCCTGATTCTACAAGGATTTTCATGAACCTTCCCTCATTATCAAATAATTGTAATCTACTGGTTCCAGTACCTAAATATTCACTCTCCAATACAAGAAGGTGTCCATGCTTTGTTAAATTAATATCAATGACATTCCTCATTTGACCTCCTTTTGTGCCTTGTGACCCTATCTCTTTGATGGTTTCATTTTTATTCATGTCAAACATGTACACACAGCTACTGATCCTACCTGCTACATACAAAATATTAGATATCTCATCCACATGAATACCACGCAATGACCTTAATACTCCCTCACCAATTGTTTTTATCACCTGACCATTCATATTGCATATTCTGACAGGTTTTCGATGAACATAATCACTGAATACTATGTTACCATTCATCATTTTGTACATTCTGTAAACTTTCATGCCTTGTGGTAGTGTAACTTTACCAATATATTCTCCTGATTGTTTGTACTTGAGTATTTCATTTGTTGCACATGAAACAAGCAAGCAATCATCTTCATACTTAACTACATCCCTAATAGAGTGTTTGTTAATTTGGATGGTATTTACTAATCCTTTCTTCTCAACTTTGGGTGTCATTGTTGATTGTTCTGTGGAGAGGAGGAAATATTTATGTGCATTAAAATTATGATGCCCAAATACATATTAATAGGAAAATGGATAAACCAATAAGAACAACAAACGGCCACATAATGCAAAATAATTTAAAATTTAAACAGAAATCAAATTTGATCAGAATGACAAAACAAATTTAAATAACCTGCTGGAAAAAATTGCAAAACCTCCAGAGGGATCTGTTTGGGGCTTACAGGCCTCATCGGTGCAGCTAGGGTAGAGACCCAGACAAGACGTTGGACCAGCTTAGCAGAGCTCAGGCTAGCACCATTTGCAGCACCAAACAGAAAGCCAAAACATATATTTAGGCATATATATATATATATATATATATATATATATATATATATATGTTACCAAATGATCGATGACACAATAAACCACTAATAAAATTCAAAAATATGACGATACTTTTGAGAACGATCATTTCAGGCAATGCCTGAACAATTTAATAAGGCCTAGCCATTGCTAGGCCTTACGCTACATA